CTGCAAGACATTTTTGCAATGAGTGTACTAGGGCCTAAAGTCAAAAGAAAAATAGACCAAAACGGTATCTTGTTTGATTCGGCTGTGTTTAAAACATAGGTTACAGACCTTAAAATAGTGAGGTCTCAGCAAGCTTCACATTAAAGGGTTGAAAATCTTTTCAGGATAGAGTGGGTATGAGTTTCAAATTAAAATAAAAGAAAATTATGATATAGTGATGTCTCCTTAACTTAGTCTTCCCTTTTCCAGAAGTTGTTTTTCATGCCAACATCATTGTCTTAGCAAATCTTCAGAAGCAGACAAGGAAACACAATTGATTTGGTGAGCAGCTCTCTGCTGGTAATTCTCTCTAATTCTCTCTTTTGCCTTAATTGTGCCACTTCTTTCTATGGTTCAGGTCTGAACGTGATTTTCACTATAATTTTTTGCTTGCTCTTTTGACATCAAGGTGCAGGCACTGGGTTAACTTCTGATTTGTCATTTTAAATTTTGACAAAAATGCCTACAGGTGATGCCTGGCCATTTGATTTGAGAGGAAAGAGGGAAGGAACAACTCTTCCATGTGCATTTATCAAGTGTGAAGGACCTGCAGGAAGGGTCAGAGTGGGGAGGAATGAGAACATATAGTGTGGGAAGGAAAAAGGACTGCTGGGACAAGGAGCTGGAGGAGGGCCTAGGGAATTGGAGATTTTCGTCCTGCTGCTGTGAGGGACCAGTGTGGATGTAAGGATTGCTGCTGCAGGAGGGAGGGAGGGGGGGCAGGAGGGGAGCAGAGTTCCTCTGGTCAGGGGAGGGCTGATCCACTTAGGACAGGGCAGCTGAACTGCTCCTCGGAGGTTAGCACATCAGGCAGTCTGCCCTGTTGACATAGCTCGAGAGGTGACAACACATGGTCTGATAAAGAATTACCTTCTGTAAACCTGAGCTGACCACTCTTAATGCATTTCACTTTTTAAAACTGTTTAATAGTTCTCATGTAATTTCTTCCATTATTTTATCTGGGATCCACTGTGAGACTAATAATCTTACAGTAATTTTCACAGTCCCTCTCACATTTTAAGAGCATGGTGCAGTAGCAGCTTTCTTCCAGTCTACCACAGTGCCTGCCATGATCCAGGACCTGCTGAAATCAAATTCCAATGCTTCAGAGCCAGCTCTAGTAACATTTCTAGAAACAAGATGTATCGACGTGATAATTTCAAAATGTCTAACTGAAATTTAACATTTTCCCTTGTTACTGCTGTAATGGAGACCAATTCACAATTTGTATCATCTGGCTTTTTTTCACGAAATGTTCAACACAAGTATTTATAGGAAAATTTGAATTTTCCACACTATTGTT